TGTCACTCCCATCAGATGTTGGGAGGCTCATCCGATCTCATCCGGATGGATACAACCTTATACTCATGAGGTGAAGTACAAGCAGCAGGAGAGCACCTACTTGTATGCTTTGTTTATAACAGGGTTTACCAGAGACTGTCATTTCTTTCATCCATCGTTGAGATATAAATCACTGCTTGTTTTGGTATATCGTCTGTTGGTAATCAAGTTAGACTTTTACAGATGAATAATTTAACTTGCAGTTTTCTATTGAAATCTTGCGTTGCCACTCTCCTACTTTTGTTCTGTCCTTTCATTCCTGATCCTCTCTCTTCTTGACACACCATGTGCCCTTCTCAGAAATCCCCTTAGTTGTTGTAACCCCCCCCCCCCCCCCCTTCCCCCGCCTTGTAATTTTTCAAAGTCTAGCATATGTAGCAAGGAGTTGGTTGAAAGATTGCATTATAGTTTTTTTTTATAAACTTTAGCAGGGAATATATCTAATGTTCAAAGAAAAACTGATGAAACACTCTGACAGTTTATATAAAATTAACAATTTTAAAAAGAACGATAAATTAAAATGAGTAAACTAAATTGTACCTCACTCTATTTTATTTTACATGCATCTCATTCTCAAAAAAAAAAAAATAAATGAACAAAGAATTAGAGAACTAAACAACTGTAAACATCTACTGTCTACGGATCTGAGACATATCACAGAACATATCAATAATAATGGTTCAACAATTTGTACTGAAATTTGGATAATAGTAACAAAAACAACTGGTGAATGCTGTAAGTTCCTGTTGAATCTCTGACCAGCATGGAAGAGAAAAACAATTGATCACATGATTCAAAAACAGTTTGTTTTTTAAAACCACTAAATAAAAGATCACACATTTATATATTGGAAGAGAAAAACATCTGATAACATAATTCAAAAACAGGCTGTTGTAATGTGTGTGTTTTTTTTTTAAACCATTGAAGAAAGGCACAAATTTAGATGATGCAAGGGAAAGCAAAATCTACATAAATCAAAAATCCCAGCAGAGATTCCAGTTCATAGTTACACTACAAAAGTATCAGAAACAATATTTAACAGGTCATGTAGTTATAAATTAGGACTATTCAACAGGCAGCCCATGAGCCAAATCTAGCCTGCAGAGGCCGAGAAAGTGGATGCTGGTCATTGCCAGTTGTGTTATTTTAATGATGTTTCTATGATGGGGCTTGAGCCTCTGGACTCTAACGATCCTCACTTTCAATATTTTTGCCCCTTAGTAAACTTAGTTGAACAGCCCTGGTTTAAGTGAATGAGTGAATTAGGAACTGACTGTTCATGTTACCAGGCCTATCTTCACACTTTCTCTGTCTGATCTAGGTCAGAGGGTTGTCACGTTGTACTGCTTTCTTCAAAAAGTGTCTCTCCTGTGACCTAGGCTCAGTCTGTGGGTAGGGGAGTTCTGGTTAGGGTCAGTTCTATATGTACTGGGGTGATTGAAAGCTGTGTTGTCGTGTAGTATAGAAGACGCGACATCGGTGCTGATGTTATTGGAGGCAAGACAATGTGACACCCCTCTGACGTAGTAGAGTCTGAGAAAGTATGAATGAAAAGTCAGACAGTGTGTAAGTGGGCATGGAAATGTGAATTGGACCGAATTGACATTACTGCACTCTGGGCTTTTCCGCACACAGCTGTGAATAGCCAAAAAAAGAGTTCCCATATTGATGGTGCCAGATGCAGCCTGATTACAAGTCCACCAGTCCACACCCTTTCATGTTGAAAACCAGTGTGAATGAAATTTATTGTCATCAATTCCTCTTCTTCTTGGGTTCCCTCCTGTCAGCTTTTCTTAGATGTATCTTTAAGATGCCCAAGCCATTTGATCTTCTGATCTGTGTGAATTTGAACTGCCACCACACAGAAGAAAACAATGCAAGTGATGCAACTTAAATCTCTTCACAGTGGCTACTAGAAGCTCCTACAAAAACATACAGAATAACAGCAAATAATCAGAAGAGATATAAGCATGAAATAAGTCATATATTACAATTATAACTGTTTTACCCTATGGAATTCATTACTATCATCATAATAGTACAGCTTCTAGGCTCAAGCAATTTTTATTAAATAAACTATACACCACACAGTGAGATTAAATGATTGTCTACCCTTATCAAATACTCACAGTTAGTACAAATGGTTATCTACCCATTTAAAATACTGACATTGTTTGACAGAAGCACTAATAAAAACATAAATAGATTGCTGACCAATCCTTGTGGCAAATGAAACAGAATTTCCCATGTGGGTTTCTGAGCCCCATTGTTGAGAAAAGAATAGATCAGCTGACCCCAATAAGCATGTTTTGTTTTTCTAAAGTTGGAGTGCTTCTGCCTGGGAGGCAAAGAACCAACAATCTATACACAAATAAGGTAACATCTGTAAAATGGATGTACAAGAGAAACTCAAGTTCTGGAACAAGACTATAGTCAAGAGTGGATGAACAAACAGCACTTCCGCTGGAGTTAACAGTTAAAGAACATGAAGAAGAAAGAGAAGAAGATGAAGAAATAGAATGATAAATACATTGTACTTATAAATGTAGAGGAAAAAGGTAGACACTTGAGGACAAACTTGACAACATAAAAACTTGAAACAGTGGTTACCATGCCAGGAATTGATGGTCATGCATCATACAAATGCTCCTGCAGGGAGGTGCTTACATCATGTTCTATTCCCAGTGTGGTAACCATAACTTTAGATGTTTGTGTTATCTAAGTGTCCATTCTCTACTTTTATCCTATACCTCTTTGAGTCCCAGTCACTGCATATCAATGTATTTATCATATCATGAAAACAGAAACTAACTAAATGTGTATCAATGTTAATACATGTGCTAATGAGAGGAATCACGCACATTCAAATGCAGCTGATGTTACAGTTAAACAAGTTCCTACATGTTAGTGCAAACAACAACTAGATGTATTCTGTCTTCTAAATACAAGCTTGCATTTCAGTAAACAAAAAATTTTCTGTGTAAGCTCAAAAGAAACAAACAATTCTGTACATCATATACCAAGTATTTCATGGATGTCCGTAAACTTATTCATGAAAGTAACATGGTTTTTTGTTACTGTTGAGAAAACGTGTTAACAATATAACTAGAATGTCTTTGCACTGGAACCCATAGGGTCAAAGGAATAAAGGCAGATAAAAAAAAAAAATATGAATACTGGAACTACAGACTGAAGTCAAAAAGATAGGAAGGGCATGGAGTAAACTGCATGTGACAGCAACAATTGGGACAACTTGGTGTGAACTGGTTGTCAGTCTACACTCCACTGTGTGATAAAGGGCAGAAAAAAAGCTTTCCCCTTGTCTTTCACATAGTAAAGTTTGACTATAAAGTTAATTATTACAGTTAAACATGTTGAAATCTATGTGCAGATTACATAAAAAGTTTGCTGTTATGATTTTTAATCGCACATGTCAGTGGCTCCCAATTTCCTACATACTTCCAGAACAGAATCCCTTAAAGACTGGAGACAGTAGGGATAATGTTTCCAACTCCATATTTCTTCTTCCTCTGCAGAACGGTGGTTGGTACATTATGTTGTGATTTATAGCAAGGCTGCAATATGTACATCTTTCGACCCACACATTCGATCTCAGCAAAGCTCTGATTTGTTGTTTTTTACGACATGCTTTACTGATCGGGACAGAGGGTCTGTTCTTTTCTCTACATGAAATGGGACCCCAGAACCCCCCGTAAGGACACGTGCACAAGTACGTAGGCTAATTAGGCTGATGACTTTAACCATATTGTATTTGAATCTCCTTTGAGGCAGGGATTTCTTTCACTGTCCTGGGCTCGCAGGTCAACCTAGTTTAAATGGATGCCATGCAATTTCCTGGGAGGTGAAAGTGATCAGGATAATGTCACTTAAAACTCTCATCAAGTGCCAGTTTGCCTAACAACATGAGCCTAACACCAAATACCCCCCCCCCCCCCCCCCTTTCCCCCATACACTTAGTGTATGTCAATAATTCCTTCACTTTATAGCTTTAAATAATGTTTTAATTTATTGCATCATGGTTATAAATTTTAGATACTCAAACCATTGTACCCAAGTTATAATTTTAAAATATTGACATCATAATGATGAATTACATTTGAAATAGATGAGAAAGAATATCCACAAATAACTAGCCATTAAATTCTACCAGTATAAGCAAACATTGTGAATCCTGGACAATCAGTAGGCAGGCCAAACAATTTCTTGAGGCCTCAGAGATGTGGTTTTACAGAAGAATGCTTAAAATACCTTGGAGAGCCAAAAAGAGCAACCAAGAGGTTTTGAAAGAGGTGGGAGCCCGAAGACAACTAATAACAGACATCAGAAGGAGACAGTCATCATTTTTCGGGAAAATGGAACATGTTGTGACCACTGGAAATATCAGTGGAAGAAGGGATAGAGAAAGACAACGAGAGAAGATTCTTGAAAGTCTTGTTGCATGGCATGGAGGTGTGTCAGCACACGAACTGATACATGCTGCAGGAGATCGCAGATTGTGGAGAGGCATATTCATTCTAGCCATTCAAGGCATATGATGATGATGATGATATGCAAACATAGGTAGTAAGAAAACTGCTGCACTATACAGGACCCCAAAAAAAACTTTGTTCTTTCAGAATAGAAATGGCTTGGGATACATTTTAACTGTACAAACTGTATCTGACTATAAGCAACAAGCTTAAACAGTTGGCAAACAACTAATAATATAAGCAACAGCAATTGTATCTTACATCCAAACGATAGGTTGGATCAGAGAGCAAAGATTGCTGATGTCTGATCCACACTAGCCACTAAAAGAAGAAGGAGCAAACACATAGAAAAAAAAAAGAAAAACACACGGCAGAGAAAAAGAGAAAGACACATGGCAGAGAAAAAGAGAAAGACACACGGCAGAGAAAAAGAAAAAGTCATATGCTCACACATGCAAACACAAATGTCAGTCAGAATTTCAATTTGCCAATAAGTCCACTGACATCTGAAAGCTGACTGTAGTTGTCATCCATGTCTAATTTCTCCCTGGCGAGTCTGTTTGTACTGCTTCCATTTGGTTGTGATGATGTTTTCAGTCCCTGTCCTTGAACTGTTGGCAGATGCAAAGTGCAGGGTAACATTTCTCTCATGACTGTATGATGGGTGACTAGAGCTGTCAGGGTCGACCATTCCTTGTCCAGCCCCTGTAGGGACAGAAGCCAGACATTTCACAAAGAATGCATAAGAATGAAGCAAAAAATTGTGGGGAGGGAAAGCAGAAAGAGAGAAAGACAGTGGGAGAGAAGAGAGTGAGAAGGAGAGTGAGAAGGAGAGAGAGAGAGAGAAAAGGAAGGGGCAAGACACACGGAAAGAAAAATGAGATAGAAGGAAGGAGAGAGACAGAGAGAGAACGAGAAGGGAAGAGAGAAAGAACAAAGAAAATAGGGAAGGAAAGAGACAGGCAGAGAGAGGGAGTGAGGTAGAGAGGGAAGGAGGCAGAGGAAGAGATAGTGACAGAAAAATACAGAGAAAGGAGAGGGAGGGTGACAAAAAGAGAGAGATAGAGACAGAGATGTAAGAGGGAGAGAGGGAAGGAGAGAGACAGAGAGAAAAGCAAAGAAAGAAGAGAGTGAGGGAAGGGGAAAGAGAAATAGAAAGTGAGAGACTGCTTAGTAAAGTAAATTAAGGTCTCATGTTTTGTGTAGCCCACTTAGAACTCAGTGAGTTATGTGGTCAGTCCCAAACCAATTACTTCCAAAACTATGCCTAGGGTTCAGATTCTCAACTCTTCTTTTTCCCTGTGTGGGTTCCAAGGCCCTGTTATAGGAAAAACAAGAATAGACCCAATGCCTACCCAACAGCATGTTGTAGGAGTCGACTAATTGGGAGCTTTCTTTAAAGTCGAGGTGCATCTGCCTAAGTGGCAAGGAACCAGCAGTCTGCATACAAATGAGTCAGATCTGTAAAACAGATGTACACGCAACACTCACATTCTTGAACAGGACCTCAGTCCAGAAGTGGATGAACAACCGGAACTTTTCGCCGGAGTTTACAGCTGGTGAGCACAAAGAAGAAGAAGAAATGTTTTCTCTTTAGCAAATTTCAAAGTTGTATTTGTTATTTACAACCTGATTATCACCATCAAGCATTCCAGACACTGGTTGGTTGTGATACTTCTTTATTATTCGATTCCATTTTGGAGAACAAAGAAGTGACCCTTGGCAAGCATAGAGTAGGGGCGACTAATTATGGGTGTTTCCTTTAGTCAGAGTGCATCTGCCTGAGAGGCAAGGAACCATTAGTCTGCATACAAATGAGCCAGTTCTCTTAAATGAATAGCATGCAAAACGCTTTGAAAAGCTTATGGATCAAGACCAAATTCTAGAAGTGGACGAACAACCAGAACTTTCTGCAGGCTTTTAAAGTCAGTGAATGCTAAGAAGAAGAAGATTGGGTGCCATAGTTGTCGAAATGTAATTAATTAATATTTGTAGTTTCTTGTTTTTGTTTCTCTCATTCTCCATGTTTGTGATTCATGCAGCAGGACTGTTCAGCTGTTAAATGTGGTTATAATGTCTTTTCACTTCTCAAAACTTCCTGATTGTTTAGAAGTCCTTCATGTCTTTTGTATGTGTAATGCCTCTAAGTCATATTAGCTTCTTGAGGAGGTTTTGTAATTGACCCCATGACACTGAAGAACAATTGCTTGAGCTCTTCCCCCAACTGAATGCTGACATGAATTGAGGCAGCAGACAGGACAAGGCCAGTCTGATCTGCATTCAGCAAGGCAAGGCACAATGAAGGTAGTTATAATCATCAAAGCCTTTTCTGAAAGCTGAATCACGTTATCTCTAAGAATGGTAGCATTTGTTGTGGTTCTTTAGCTGTTCTTATCTCGCTGTTAGGTGACACCCTGTTTTGTTCAAATTTTTACGTTGGCCTCTTTGATCTTTTTCTGCACATACAGACACACAAACAGAGGGGATGTTTGTTTTAGTATCCAGAAGCCATGAGTTTGTTAACCCTTAGGCTCGGTATTATGGATATCGCAACCTTTCAGCTTTGATTCCATGATAAATACAGTAAATCTGGGAGAAATGTGGCTTTTCTGCCTACCCCCGGGAATGAACCTGGACCACAAGGACCAACTACGCTAGAGAGCCGGGAAAACAGAGGGGAAGTGTAGTTGACATGGGAGGGAAAATTAAAGAAAATTACCATCTGAGAAAGAGTGAGAGAGCTCCCATATGGTGTTAACATTTTGTGACAGTGATAAAAACAAACCTTTAATTTGACACCTCGATGTGTACGCAGTATGAGATAATGAGATATTCCTGTTGCATTGTCATATTTTGGAACTCGGACTGACAAGGCATAACAGCCTGGATGTGTAGAGCTGTCTCGTACTATGAAAGATCCAACATCTTCTTGCTGAAGGATTTCCAAGGCACATTCCCTGCAAACAAAATGAAACATAGTCATTGATCATGAGAGCTCTTCTTTTAAATACTGATCTATTATGTAAGTATACATTAAACTGAATATAAGCTGTTAACATGTCATTCTTATCCTTCTCATAGGAAAAACAAGATATAAATAATACATTATAGTTCACACTTTGTTTGACTATCTTTTTCACATATAAAAAAGGAAGGCAATACTGTCCTATTATTTCTAATGAAACTGTGTAGTGATGAGAGGAGCTTATGACTATTTACTTAATAAGAGATATACATTTGTCACTTGAGAGCAAACAAAGAAAAGAAAATTTAAGAAGGTAGAATAGCAGGCAGTGAAAAGTGCAGGAAGGTTAAGAAGGAGTAGAAACCAGAGGAAAAGAAGTGATGATGAAGACCAATCAGCTAATAACAACCTGGAGTGAATACAACACACTGACCAGCTTATAGGGCAAGTGGCACTTGGTGAGTGATGGGGTCAGCATCATACCAGCCGCCTTTACTTCCCATGATTCTTTTCTGCTTAGCGACCACATCAAGCGAGATTTAGAAAAATCCTAACAGGGCCTTGGTCACATGTAAATTGTGCACCTCCGGCGACTACCGCCACCGCCAACTAGTTTTTTTTGGTACTCACGAGCAGCAAATAAAATGAAGGAAGCTGCAGGAGAGGCGGTAGCTGCTGCTCGTGAGTCCCAGCCATATAGTTTAGAGCCATCTAGTTTAGACCCGCTCCATGCCGCCCGTAGTGGCGTGTGAGATACTCTCGGCGTTGGCAGTAGTCATCGAAAGTGCCGATTTACATGTGACCGAGGCCCTGTTAGGGTAAATTGTCAGCCTCGATATATGTGGGACTGTTATTCGGAGGATAGCCAAATCTCATAATATAAGTGGGTTTCGGTTAGGGTTAGTAGTAGTTGACATTCATTTGACACTAACCCTAAACCCAGCTCCCCCCTCCCCCATATTATGGGATTTCCTGATGTGGTCATGAAACAGAAAAGAATCCTTCCCGGGACTGCACCTGGTACCCACTCAAGGCTGGGTCGACCTGGGAGTCAAGGTCATTTTTGAAAAATGTCCGGCTCTCAGGACCAGAACCCACGGCCTTCCAAGCTGCAGGCGAGCGTCTAGCCACTTCACCACGGCGACTCCCTTTAATGTGCTGGGTAATTTGATTGTAATTTCTGGAAGGCTGTTCTTACTGCCATCATCATCAGTTCTCCTTATGCCTAGTGGCACATGAGGCTTCAGAGAGGACTTTCCATGCTTTCCTGTCCTGTGCAATCTTCAGTGCAGTTTTCCATGTCAAAGATGCCACACTCAGGTCACTTTCCATCGTTCTTCTCCATGCTGTTTTTGGGCGCCCCTGTTTTCTCTTTCCCTCTGGTGTCCATGTGAGAGCTGTTTTGGCAGGTATATCAGGATTCATTCTCATAACGTGGCCTAAAGTTTCTTGGTTTGTGACTTGAAGTAGTTTAGTGTTTGAGATTGTATCTGACCAGAAAATTTTGATAATTCTACGTAGACATGTGTGGTGGAAGGTAGACAGCTTGTGTGCATCCTTTTTTGGTCATTCTCCAGCATTCCGCTCCGTAAAGAAGAACTAGCAAAATGATGCTCTTGTAGAGTCGCAGTTTCGTTCCTCTGCAGTAATTGTTGGATTTCCAGATTTGCCTCATCCTTCCAAAAGCAGCTCTAGCTTTGCTCAGACGTGACTGTATGTCCTCTTCGGTCCCTCCCGGCAGGGACACCACACTGCCAAGATATGTAAAATGTTCTACATTTTCAAGAGTTTGGTTATTTATGGTCACTGGTTGCTGGTTTGGACTGCTTGTCATGATCTAAGTTTTCTTTGTATTTATTCTCAGTCCCACCATTTCTGCTGTGCTGTGTAGTCTGTTACTTTTTTCTTGTATATGTTCATGTTTATGGGATAGGAGTGCTATATCATCTGCAAAATCAAGGTCCTCAAGCATGGTAAATGGAGTCCATTGTATGCCTCTCAATGTTCTGTCTACTGTGTTCTTTAGTATCCAATCAATCACAAGGTTGAAGAGTATAGATGACATAACACATCCTTGTCTTACACCTGTCTTTACTGGGAAAGATATATTGTAATTTTTTTTAACTGCAGGAAAAGTCTTAAAGAAGAGAGCAATTATGTTGACTATTTTTTCTGGAATTCCATAATGTCGTAAAATTTTCCATAGACTGTCTCTATGTACGCTGTCAAAAGCTTTCTCAAAGTCCACAAAATTAATATATATACTTCTCTGCCATTCATTGCATTGTTCTAAGATGTTGCGTATGGCGAAGATGTGTTCAGTTGTTCCTCTGCCCTTTCTGAATCCTGCTTGTTCTACTCGTAGGCATTTATCTATTCCTTTTTCAAGCCTCATTATGATGATTTTACAAAATATTTTGCTTGGTACTGAGAGTAGAGTAATTCCCCTCCAATTATTGCAGTGTGTTAAGTCTCCTTTTTTGGGGATTTGGACTATTGTTCCTTCGGTCCAGTCATCAGGCAACACTTCTTTTTCCCAAATATCCTTGAACAATGATTCTAGAATGCTAGCAGTTGTGTTGGGATCTACTTTGAGAAGTTCTGCTGGCAGTTCGTCTTTGCCTGGTGCTTTGTTGTTCTTTAAAATGTGGATAGCTTTAAGGATTTCTTGTTTGCTTGGTGGTTCAGTAATAATGTCAATGTCCTGAGAGGCTGGTTGAATATCTGGGGGATTTTCAGGATCAAGTCTGTTCAAGAGGTAGGAAAAGTGTTTAGTCCACTGCATGTCTTGTTTTTGTTCTGTGGTAAGCAGTCTGCCTTGATTATCTCTGATGGGTATGCTGTGATAATTGTTTCTGCTTCCGCAAATTTGCTGGGTAATTTGGTTAATTTTGTGTAGGGTTTGTAGATCATGTGCTTTAGCAGCATTTTCTGCTGTTTCAGCTAGATTTTCCATAAATCTTCTTTTGTCAGCTCTGGCACTTTTCTTTGTCATTTTATTTAGTTCGCTATATTCTAACATTAGTTTGTCTTTCTAAAGTTCTGATTTAGTATGATTTATGAGGCTCTTTATTCTTTTTCGCTTGGCAATATAGTCCATGGTTTGACTGCTTATCCCTTCTTTGTGGTGTGGTTTCCAGGTTCCTAATATGTTGTTGCTAGTTGATTTGTATGTTTCTTTGATCTGGTTCCATCTGTCTTGAATGCTGATTGCAGTTTTAGTGTCTGGGTCACTTGATAGGGTTTGAAATCTATTCTTGAGTTCTACTATAAATTTAGCGGCAATGTCTTAAAAAGTTAACATTGTAGCGTGCTGTCTGTGTCTTAACTTGCGTGTGAACTTTTTTGAGTTTAAGTCACAGTAGAGCAACTACAAGGTGATGATCGCTTCCTACGTCTGCTCCCCTTTTGACACGCACATCGAGTAGGGACCCACGCCATTTTCTGTTTACCATGAAATGGTCGATCTGGTTTACATCTCTTCTATTTGGGGATATCCATGAAAGCTTGTGTATATTCTTGTGAGGATATAGTGTTCCTCCTATAACAAGTCTATTCGCCGTGCAGAAGTCGCTCAGTCTTTCCCCGTTGTCATTAATTGTACCACATCCTTGATTTCCCATTGATAGTTCTCTATTCAAGTTGTTGTTACCAACTTTTGCCTTGAGATCACCCATAATGCATAGAATATCATGGGCTGGTACTTTATCTACTACCTCTTGCAGACTCCTAAAGAATGTTTCTTTATCTTCATCTTCAGCTTCATTAGTCGGTGCGTAGCATTGGATAATTGTAAGTTTGGCATGTTTCCCATTGAATCGTGCTGTCATAAGTCTTTCATTAATTGGATGCCACTCGATGAGATGTTTTTGCATACCTTTGTTTAAAATGAGTGCCACGCCTGCAGAATGTAGGTTATCATCTCTTCCAGAGTATATTATGGTTTCTCCTGTACCTGATGTGGATTGTCCAAACCCTGTCCACCTGCTTTCACTAATTCCAAGAATATGCAGTTTATAGTTCTGCATTTCTTTAACTACTTGGGCGGTTTTGGCCATTTCAAACATAGTTCTTACATTCCAGAAACCAATTCTTAATTTGGTTTTGACATCCAGCAGACTTGTTTTCCCATCATGGGCTTCCTTTCGGCTTTCACCCATGTTGTTCATGCTGACAGAGGGACTCTGTCTCAAGACCGCCGGACGTTTAGAGCACTTATTTCCTCTTGAAGTTTCAGTAACGTTGTAGATTTTTTTACAGGGCAGAGCTGTCAACACTGCGCCCAACCCCCGAGCCTGGAGGACCGGAAGGCCATCTTTAGTCTGGCCCCTCACCAATGACCTGTCCGGCTTGGGTGACCCTGCCAGGAACATACATTCCTGCCGGCATAGCTCATTAGATCATTGAGGCTCTCAAGCTCCCCCACCACTACAAGGTCATGGCCTCTGGGGAAAGCTTACTGCCATCAACTCTCCTTTACTCTGTGCTCATTATATTTCTTCTATGTAGTTTGTGGCCGGCTCTGTTACCAGTGCATTCTTCTATGTAGTTTGTGGCCGGCTCTGTTACCAGTGCATTCTTCTATGTAGTTTGTGGCCGGCTCTGTTACCAGTGCATTCTTCTATGTAGTTTGTGGCCGGCTCTGTTACCAGTGCATTCTTCTCAGTTTTTAACAAAGACAACAATAAAATACACATTAGAAAGGCAAGCAATACCGTGATAAAGTTGCCTGGTACCATGGTGCATTGCGAAGTGCCTCATCTTGAATATGGCTTCTGTCTAAGTACATCAATGACTCCAGCCTGGAAATATTCAAGAGAAAGAAACACACTCAATGTTTCTTATCTGACCCACAAATAACAAATCATTAGTCGCTATAAATATTTTAAATATGTAGGTCTACAAGCAAAATATAAAGCAGTCGTGAGTACACACTTTTAGAAACCAGTACTTGTGTTGCCAGGGTTTGCTAGAAGAGCATCGAATAATACATAAGGATATCTGACTGCAGGTAGATACAACAAGAGAGAAACCAGTACTTGTGTTGCCAGGGTTTGCTAGAATAATACATAAGGATATCTGACTGCAGGTAGATACAACAAGAGAGAAACAGTTTACAACAATTAATTATCTTTACTGGCAGTCATGTTTGATCGTTGTTAAAATTGTACTTTAGTTATAAAGGATTCACTTATTTGCTTTATTTATGTAATTGTTACGTAGTATGCACCTGACGAGATCCAGCGAAATATGCCAGGCAATAAATTGTGCAATCTATTGTTTGTGTCTTCTTCGTTCAAATTTACAACGGGGAAACATTGCTTTAATTAAATTATCTTGCTACACCATCTCACATGGAGTGTATTATGGGCAGTTATGACCCCCCCCCCCCCCAATTTTATTATATGCACAATTTATTTTAACTGTTTACCCCCCCCCCCCCCCCCAATGTTTCGCCCTATTTCTCCTTTTCATATTAGCCCCAATCCTTGTGGCGTGGATTGGGGCTAACTAGATGGCTAGGACTCACGAGCAAAGCTGCAGGATATGCGGAAGCTGCTGCTCGTGAGTCCCAGCCATCTAGTTTAGCCACAATCCATGCCGCGTGAGCGGCTGTAGGGATACTCTCGGCGGTGGCGGTAGTCACCGGAAAACCGCAAATTAGGTCGCCGGAAGTGCGCAATTGACACCTGACTGAGGCTCTGTTAGAGTGTTTTTGCGCCCGCCATCTTTTGTGCCCGTTATTCGGAGGATAGCTAAATTATCTATATCTACAATGCTGTCTCTAGTATGAACTTCACTGTGTTTTGTAATTCACTAAGCCGCCCAAAAAGTTTGACTTCCACAAGTGTCTCTCTTGGCTAGAAGTTTTGCTTGGAAGCGTTGAATCTGTAACAGACTTTTAGAATGTGATCTGTTGTCTCAGGTGCCAGTCCACATGGCTGATTCGCCAGTCTGAAATTTTGTGTACATGTGGCAGCGAAGTCGACTGTGCCTTGTTCTAAGGCGGAAAATAATGACTTGATCTGGTCTGTCCATAATATGGCAATCGTCTTGTGCCAGTTTCGGTGGCTTTCTGATTGATTTAATTATTCTCTTCTTCTGTTGATGAGAGACTAGTATGTCAGGTTGTTCTTCAGTTGCACCTCCCTTAACTAGTTTATCATCTCTTTAATTTCTGAGAACTTCACAGTGGATGGTATCCACTGCATAACTACCTTACAACAGTTGCCTAGTTAGGATAATAGTGTCCGTATACTTGGTAATTCTCCAGACTGGAGTGCCTGAAGTACCGCGTTTGCATCGTCAGGAATACCAATTGTTGTGAAATATACCCGGTATTTAGTAGTTTCTCTGCCGCTATCTTGATGGCTTGAATTTCTGCATGGTAGTTGTGACAGCGCTTTGCTGATGGCATTTTGGCTGTATTAATGGTATTATTAGGATGCTCAATGTACACTCCTGCTCTTCCCTTTCTGATTGCATTTTCTACTGACCCATCTGTTCTTCTTCTTCTTCTTCTTCTTCTTCTTCTTCTGCGTTCGACATCAGTCATGCTAGACATTGAGTCCCGTCTGGGTCACAAACAGGATTGTGCGTTTAAGGTCGCCACACGTCTGTGTAGACACGAACCCAAAGATTCTTCGGGTATTCATCATCAAGTAGACAGAGGGTGGCTGTTTTTCGCTGCACACTGCTTTTTTCTTCCTTTTCGAATACTCCTTTCACTTCTGTCTTGATGTGTATTGGGAAACGTATACACCTCTCTCAAGGGGATCCGTTCTGGAACGACATTAAGAGGCTTATCAGTTGCAGGCAGATCAGTGGTTTGTCTGCAGAGCCGTTTGGTTTGGTGGATGAAACTGCTTTTCTTTCGTCGTCCCAAAGCTAGATTTTGTAATCTTTCATTCATAGGGTGACTATGCAAGCTTCGAAAATGTCCAGTGTGTCATTTTTAAAGATCACTATAGTCGATTATTAATTTCCACTATGTAAGCATAGTATCTTTAAGTGACACATTTGGCATCAAGAGTACTGCGCTATGCTGTAGCGTATTCGGCTGATACACAAACCCGTTCAGTTTTTTTTTTATGTCAGTATATTTCGAATGGCTGTTACCAACGTGTCAGTTATTTAACCAACACAAAGCTACTGTGAACGGTTCTGTTATGCTAGGTGTAGTTAACTTCCAGCATGTGCCAAGACGATTGCCTAAATCTAGGCCAGGGCTATTTAACTAGCGGCCCCAGAGCCACATTTGGCCCGCGGAGACCTAGCAAGTGCCCAGCGGGTCATTGACAGTTGTACTATATTAATGATCTATCTATGCTGAAACTCACGTCTTTAGTCGGTGACGATCACTATTTTCAAGATTTTGACTTGTAAGTACAATTGAGTTGAATAGCCCTGGCCTAGGCAATCATGATTCTTCAGTTCACACGATTACCAAAGTCGCAGGGTAGTATTCTTGCTCTATGGTCAAAACATTCAGGAGATAGTCTGTTTGCATTATTTTTAATCTTTACTAGTCTTCGGCTTCTTTTTCTTTTCTTCTGTCTTCTTCTTCTTCTTCTTCTTCTTCTTCTTCTTCTTCTTCTTCTTCTTCTTCTTCTTCTTCTTCTTCTTCTTGTCGTCTTCTTCTTCTTCTTCTTTCTTCTTCTTCTTCTTCTTCTTCTTCTTCTTCTTCTTCTTGTCTTCTTCTTCTTCTTCTTCTTCTTCTTCTTCTTCTTCTTCTTCTTCTTCTTCTTCATCTTCTTCTTCTTCTTCTTCCTTTTCTTCATCAATTTATTCACCCCTTCTTCTTCTTCTTCTTCTTCTTCTTCTTCTTCTTCTTCTTCTTCTTCTTCTTCTTCTTCTTCTTCTTTTCTTCTTCTTCTTCTTCTTCTTCTTCTTCTTCTTCTTCTTCTTCTTCTTTTTCTTCTTCTTCTTCTTCTTCTTCTTCTTCTTCTTCTTCTTCTTCTTCTTCTTCTTCTTCTTCTTCTTCTTCTTCTTCTTCTTCTTCTTCTTCTTCTTCTTCATCTTCTTCTTCTTCTCTGACGTCTAATGCAAATTCCCAGACATCTTAATGTCCGGCAAAAAGCAATATAATCTTTCAAACATTTCTGTAACCCTTAACAACTGAGAGCCCTACCGGTTCTCCTGATGTTTACCCTGTATGTAAAACTTACTGAAAGATGTGCTCGAACATCATTTTAGACGTCGTCAAGTACAGCTGACCCCAGTTAGTTCCCACATGGAAAGGGTGAATTAGACAACTTGAGCGTCTACTTTGACCTATTTCATGTCAGTTGACGAAAGCCATCGGTTTGCATTAGGAAATTTAATACAACCTCCAATGCCAGGTTTAGATTTAGTCGGTTGGGGTAAATTATGGAGCAGAAGGGGGAGGGGGTATGACGTCACTCGGGAGAAGGACTGAAAACAAACAATCGAAAATGACTGACTGACTGTCCACCCCACCAGGACATCACACAAGCAATAAACGCCCGATGACACAAAGTGCCACCATGTGGATGAGGATCACCGTGAAGAGGTCCCAGAAACCGAGTTCAGCCATATTTATGGTCGGGCTATATTGCGGCCCCTAGCCTGAGCCAGAGTAGGGCCTCAAATAATGAAATATTGCATCCTAAAAAGGACGGCAAGATTGCAAATGTAACCTAATCGGATTGCAAATACACACCGCTAAGCAAAGCTGCTCGGGGGACTCAATACATGATATGCGATCAATAAAGCGAGCAGTAGTGGTATCTCTGATGCTTAAACTAGCCATGTTTTACCCTACAAGGACATCACACCGAGCGATGACCACCAGCTGCCCTTATGTCTAGATTGTTTAATTAAACAGTCACATCGCTGGTCAGGCTACTTTAAATTTCTTTATTTATTGCAACAATCAACATAAGTAATTTTTCTGCTGAAGCTATATCCCTTTGAAATTGTGTTCCCTATTATATTACTTCCGTGGAAATGGTCATTTAAAAAAAAAAATTATATTTCGCTGTTATCTTCCCCAAAATATATCTATATGTGTCTTGGACAATATATTGATTTCTCCCAGACTGTTAGCTACTAGTGTTAGGGGATGACCCATAGGTATAGTGTGGTTTTACAACTATTTTTTGTTTGCATTTTCCATTTTTAACCTTTGCTAATAGTCAATAAAATGATCTAAAGAATAAAACAACTATGTGGCTCTATGACTTTATAGAAGGATTTAAAAAAAATGATTTGCACCTCCAGAGTGAGAGGTGCATCGCCTCATGATTTGACTGACTGACTTTCCACCCCACCAGGACATCACACAAGCGATAAACACCCGATGTTTTTAAAGGGTTAGGAAATTGATAGGTAAGAGAAAAAGTTGGTAAGAAAAAACAAATAGTTTATGTTAGCTTTACAGAATCGATCACAATAAACAAACAAAGGACGTTGTGGCGATTAGCCTTTATCTGCACACCCGATGACAGAATGTGCCACCATGTCGATGAGGATCACCGTGGAGAGGTCCCGGAAACCCCGTTCAGCCATTAGACCATATATATGGCCGGGCTATATTGCGGCCCCTGGCAAGAGCCAGAGTAGGGCTTCAAAAAAAAAAAAAAATTCATCCTAAAAAAGGACGGGAAGTATGATTGATTACTCCCGATTTGTCCATTTTGGCATTTTTATCTGGGTCACCTGGCAGCTCAGTCGAGGCTGGGGTCACGTTACTCGGAGGCAGCTGCAGGAAACATAGTCTATGTATGCCTCCTGGTGGCTCGATGGGGATTTTGTGTGTGCCTGTTAGGGCAGGCGGAACAGAGGACCTGCGAGTTTAGGCGCAGGGCGGGAAGGGGTATCTGCTGGTTATATAGTAGAGTACAGAAAACTAGGGCTGTTGAGGGTGTCATCTTCAATAAAAGTCTTCCTGATATGGGACTATGGCTTGGGAATAGGTGACGTCTAGTTGTTATAGACGATTTGATGTCAGAAATGGATGACAGAGTCACCAAGCTGTTTACTAAAGGTAGTCACCATAGCGGAATCAGTGAAAATAAAAAACAAGGAATGCGCATTACCATATAGTTTTCAAAACGGCTCACAGATTACCAAATTCGCAGGTATTCGATGGATTGGATCCATACTAGCATGTTTTCCTTGGATTCCATTTCTCTTCAGGTTTGCATTGAGACTATTTTTCCACACTTTGTCAAAAGCTTGTTTGAAATCAACCAACACCGATTATTTTACGTTCAGTAGTTTGCCATTGCTTCTTAACGGTCAGCTCTCAGTACTACTGTCGAATCGTTGTCAGGTGAAGGCTAGGATTCTGCATCCTTTGTAGCTTGATTCTTGTTTCCTTTTTTTTTTCTTCCCTTGTTTTCTTTTTCAAACAGCACAGAAGATCCAGTCCCTATCTGTCACAAGCTGTAGAAGATGCCTTCTAAGGGAAGAAACAAGGCCTGGCGGTGTTGATCAGGCTGCTGACATGTTACACAACACCAGTTTTGACTGCCTTCAAGTGATCATATTTACAGATGCGCTGTCACAGCTCCAAGCACTCAAGAGTGGCAACTCCCTGATCTGAAATCTGAACTTCGCAAGGTGGCTGCCAAAAATCGTACTGTACTCCAGCTGTTGCCATCCAACTGTGGTATACCGGGAAATGAAACCGTGGATAAACTTTCTAGGAAAGGGGCAGAATGTGAACAGGAAGAAAATGCAGCAACATACTTTGAGAAGAAAAGGCTGTCCAAGTTTTCAACTCAGAACTATATAAAACTAAAAGTAAACTCCTAAAAACAGTTAATTTTATTAAAAAACTTCTCTGTCAGTGTAAATCAGAAAGCAAACACAAGAAGAAGAAGAAGAAGAAGAAGAAGAAGAAGAAGAAGAAGAAGAAGAAGAAGAAGAAGAAGAAGAAGAAGAAGAAGAAGAAGAAGAAGAAGAAGAAGTGTAAATCAGAAAGCAAACGCAGGAAGAAAAAGAAGAAGAAGAAGAAGAAGTGGCTGAGTCAGCAAATGAAAGAGTGGCTGGGTCGGCAACATAAGAGAGTGGGTCAGCATTATAAAGGAGTGACCTTGAAATGAGACAGTGGTTGGATCGGCAACATGAGAGATTGGGTCAGCATTATAAAGGAGTGACCGTGAAATGAGACAGTGGTTGGATCGGCAACATGAGAGAGCGAGCAAGACTGCTGTGACGCAACTTCGTTACAGGGAACTCATGTTAAAAATTGATTTCAAGGGTGCGAGCACAACTGTCCAGCGTAGGTGTGATAACAACTGCAAACCAGCCAATTATTTTCCCCAATAAAAAGTTTATGAAGTTTAAGAAACAAATCCTTGTATAAAGTTCCATGCGGTAGATTTTCTTAGTATGATGCAAGTCTTCAAATTGCCACCCCTAATAGCTTTACGCTGTTATTTCAAAAGTTAAAATTGTATTTTGATTTCACTGCTTATGACGAATCCAGCACCCCCACCCCCTCCGCAACCTCATTAAACAGAGCCGCCAGATGCGAACCCCTCACTTTATCATTTAGCACGACACGGCCCTGCGTGTATATCATTGCGGCAATCACGAAGTCAATGGTGTTACTAGGATTAGTTAGATGTCATAATCTCTTATCTTCTTCAATATTGCTCTGGTACATGTCACGATGATGATGGTGATAACGACGACACGCTAGGTACAATATATGTACAAACCATGTACAAATTGAAAACTGGTCTATACATTTTTAATGTTGTAGGGGGACAATAGTCGTCCGGACAGTGCGGTCGTTAGGCGTAATTATAGTCGTCCACAGAGTGTGGTCGTTAGAGAGGCGTGATAATAGTCGTCCGAACAGTATGGTCGTTAGACAGGCGTGATAATTGTCGTTAGATAGGTGTGATAATAGTGGTCCACAGTGTGGTCGTTAGACAGGCGTGATAATTGTCGTTAGATAGGTGTGATTATAGTGGTCCACAGTGTGGTCGTTAGACAGGCGTGATAATAGTCGTCTAGACAGTATGGTCGTTAGCCAGGCATGATAATTGTCGTCCACAGAGTGTGTTCGTTAGACAGGCATGGTAATTGTCGTCCACAGAGTGTGGTCGCTAGACAGGCGTGATTATAGTTGTCCAAAGAGTGTGGTTGCTAAACAGGCGTGATAATCGTCGTCTGGACAGTATTGTCGTTAGACAGGCCGTGATTATAGTCGTCCAGAGTGTGTGGTCGTTAGACAAGGGTGATAATAGTCGTCCACAGAGTGTGGTCGTTAGGCAGGCCTTTGTTGTCACGTTTTAAAAAATAACTGGTAAATAGCACAACTAAGTTTGTATTTATAACTGATCAGCTTTTAGTGAGGACATAACTCATCAACAACTTGTTGTTTCAGCGTAACATATCCCACTGACTATTTACTACAGATTATTGACTGCATCTGCTGTTTCTTAGCTCAGATAACACACCCATCTCACAGAGTACCAACTACATCAACAATTTAGTATCTCACATAATAAACAACTTACCAGCGGCTACACGGCAGTAACTAATTCTTAAAGCTACTACAGAGAACTGACTACCTCGATAACTTACTATTTATTTGACTTTTTTTTAAATCTGAGATATTAACCAACTTACTATCTTAAATTAATTTACACCTACCAGCTTCATCAAAATAATGATTGCATAAACCACACAAGCCACCACACACTTACAATGGTCACGAGGCACTAAAGAAATACACCAACAACAACTCCCAAATGAACACAGACAACTCACCTACACCTTGGTCTTGTCTGTGGTATGCGGTCCAGTTTGATTCTTCTGGTCCCACCGGTAAACCACTTGAATATTCTCAGGTCATAATAATATGGCATCCTGGGTGATCATTTTTGTTGACAAAGTCCTGCTTGATTCAGTTCACTAATGTGTCCACACAAAACAAGACTCGCGGCCGGCGTCTCACGAGGTAACGATATCGATCATATGTCTCGAAACCAAGTGGTTCCTATTCACGCTACCCACTGAGGTACGGGAATAGATAAACAATAAATTATGAAGGAAATAGCGGGACATGGAGGAAAACGAGTGGCTGTAGGCGTTGAAGGGGGAGAAAGAGGAGGCGGCGGTGAAGCAGTAGCTGAGGACAAAGAAGATTCACACAAATAATAAAAAGTCTTAAGTTAGACACTGGTTTCTGTTTAGTCGGTTCTGCAAAAGTTCATTCAATTTTCCCAAAGCACATTATCCTTTTTAAGCCACCGGGGCCTCCGCCATATTTTCCTAGATAAATAACTGAATAGGCCAAATGGTAGTCGATGAATGGTAGTTCAACATCACACCGGTTGCCTTGACTTCCCAGGACAGTGAAAAACAGTTAGTTATTTACAATTGTTCGGTGCCATAAAGGATTTATAAGTTAAAGACCTATAGACCACGTTTTTCATTCTGCCGATTTAAACATTGGTCGGACCCTCAGTCGAACGAAAAAGTGGGATATTACTGTAGGTATGGATTGTTGAATGCACAGGATCGATTTAATTACAAACAGCTCGGTCTGTCTCCACGTAATGGCTAGCCAACCTGCCAAGGGCGTTGTGTAAAGCACGAAATCTGTAGCCCTAGCTACGATCCGTCAGGAATCTACATAACAACTGCTTCAAAAAAATGAACGGAGCAGTCTGGGAAACTTTTTCTTTTTCTTTTTCTTCTGTTTGTTCACAGGCTGTAAACACTCAAGCGGAAAGTTGTTGTTCGTCCACTTTTGACAAGTGTTTTTACGAAATTGAGTTTTGCGTACACACCCGTTTTAAGATCTGGCTAATTTATAATCAGACTGTTGGTTCCTGGCCATACTGACTTCGAAGGTAGCACCCATAATGAGTCAACCTTCAAGACATGCTTTACAGGGGGGGGGGGGGGTTCTATCTCCTCTTTTTTCCCTATGATATCATCGAACACACACGGTGAGTCTGTGAGACGAACATACGGCCTTCAGAAAGCGAAGCAAACGACTTTCCCCGTGTAGCCAGGGATACAGCACTCTTGGTATTAAAATAAAATAATGGGCACTTTACAAATAAGGCGTATCGGGGTATGAGACTTGGTCCATATTATAGAGATTAACAGCACTCAATGAGTCTCGTTTTCAACATCAAGCCGGTGATCTTTAATTCCAGTGACATTTTCTTGCACCAGTATAAGGCTCAATTGACCTGGTCAATTATACAAATCGATTCTGATTTGGATTCGAACCCCAAACCCACAGGAAGGTGTCCATTCACATTAGCCGCTGTGGGAAGGAACAATTTTCGGTCCAGCGCTAACTGGCTGGCAGCCGCCATTGTCGTTCCTTGTGCACAGTTCTGTGTCGATGACAACAACTGTAAGAGTGTGCTACTTTTCGAGAAGCAATGGCAAACTACTAAACTCATACTGCCTGGTTCAGTCAAAAAGATCGACATCACTGCACCGGATATTATCGCATATGGCTCAGTCTATCTCAGCAGAATGGATGGCCGCCTACCGAAAGCGTTACACAAAGCACGAACTCGGCAGAGACAGTGACGAACGGCAATTGAGTTCTGGAAAATCTGCACACAAAACTGCACACAACAGCTTATGATTGCCCTGCTGGGTTTGTGGCGATCTGAAGTGGACACTCACCTAGCGTCGACTTAGTTATCTTGAACAATCTTGCCTACTGAATTCCTGCTGGATATATCTATGCTGTTATCAGATGATCAACTTTAAGGAATGTTCTATAACAATTGCATTTAAAGGCGCTTTAGTGTTTTCCAACTGATTTCTTACATACCGATCTTACCAGCTAAATCTACGTCTCCAAAACATTAGTCGACAGCAAGGATTGCAAGAATCGCTGTAGCATAGCTGCTAGACGCTGGCCTGCCTGCCTGCCCGAAGGTCTTGGTTCGAATCCACATCCAGGCGGAAAATTGTACTTGTCTGCCGCAGGGTAAGTCCCAATCCTGACCTTACCCCCACCCTCCCCCACTCTATAACGCGTACCACGTAATGTCCTGAACATTGAAAGACCACATCATCGCCCGGCTGTCCACTGAGGCTATCCTCCGAATAACGGTCCCATATTATCGAGGCTAAAAAAAATGCCCTAACAGGGCCTCAGTCATATGTAAATTGCGAACCTCTTTACGGCGACTATACCGCATACCGCGGAAAAGCTTCCCCCCGAGTTAAAGTCATCGCTAAGAGTTTTCCCCGCGTCGCTACGTGCGGCTAAGCTAGGTGGCTGGGACTTCACGAGCAGCAGCTACCGCATCTCCTGCAGCTTCCTCCATTTTATTTGCGTAAGTTCCAGCCATCTAGTTTAGCTCCCCCCCCCCCCCCCCCCGCGGCGCGGGTATACTCATGGCGGTGGCGGTATAGTCGCCGGAAAGAGGTCCATAATTTACGTATCTTCTTCTTCTTCGCGTTCACCAGCTGTAGACTCTGGCGGAAAGTTCTGGTTGTTCGTCCATTCCTGGACCGCAGTCCTGCTCCAGAACCTGAGTGTTGCGTGTGCATCAGTTTCACAGATCTGATTCACTTGAATGCAGACTGGTGGTTCCTTGCCTCTCAGGTAGATGCACTCCGACTTCAAAGGAAGCTCCCAATTAGTCGACTCTTACGTCATGCTTTTGGGTAGGCAGTGGGTCTATTCTTGTTTTCCCCACAATAGGGCCCCTGAACCCACACGGGGAAATTTACATATGACTGAGGCCCTGTTAGGGTATTTTCTTAGTCTCGATAATTTGGGACCGTTATTCGGAGGAAAGCCTCGACTGGTCTATAAAATATGTTAAGCATCATATGCCGGATAAACAACTGACGTAAAAAAAAAGTCCGTTACAGAGATGATCGGACAGCCATGGTCAGCAATGTATGCTGCTGACCAAGCTCGACAACAAGTCTCTAACTGGTCACTGTCCAGAAGACTCACATTTACTGTGATGGAACGCCAGCCAGATGGCGAATGCACTCGGACACACCACGGTCCAAAACATGTGGGCTAATAACATTGTTGAGGAACAGAACTGGTTGCCTAAGGTTATACTGATATTTTCCAAGTCCAAACCATCAAACGGCAGCAGCGCCTGTTATGAGATTACTTTTAGTCAGCGTGAAAGAAAACAGCTGGCTTTCTCCTGGGAAAATATGGCCACTGCACCTAATACCCCCTGGAGCATTAACCATTTCATATGTGCCGTTGGCGGTGTGTCTGTGTCTGTGTATGTACGTGTGTGTGTGGTCGAGTGTGTGTGTGGTCGAGTGTGTGAGTTAAGTGTGTAATGTACACATTGTAAAACACACACACACAAATTAGACACAGGGAACACGCTCAGAGCTGCAGTCGTATAAATTACATTCAATCTGGTTACAAAGGTCGCGGGAGAATGGGCCCAGACGAACATAAACTATAAATATAAACACCAGAATTCCTAAAAAAAATGTGGGCAATAGTTGTCAAAGCTCAGATGCTAGTGTTTATGTATGTATGTATATGGTGTATGTTGCGTGTGTGTGTCTCTCTGTGTGTGTGTGTGTGTGTGTGTGTGTGTGTGTGTTTAGTGAAAGTTTGTTAAAAACCACCAGCTATCACAGAAAGAAAGGGAACAATAAACCAGCCCAGGAAACGTGTTAGTGCTTGCTGCTGCACTTGTGTGTGTGGTGTGTGGCTGCCGGGAACAGCGTATTTGCTTTACTCTGTCAAAACACGATGAATGCCTTGTGGTTTCGCCGGCACATAGCTTCTGATGAATGACAGCCATGCAAAAACCACGAATCACAAATGGGCACGCATTAACAGGCGACATACTGTAAAACTGTTACATATATACATATACACACACACACGTGTGTGTGTGTGTGTGTGTGTGTGTGTGTGTGTGTGTGTAGTTAACAACAGTAGTAGGCATATAATAAAAGTGCTAATAATAGAAAGTAATAGTAGCAGCCGCAGCACAGAGCTAATGCTGCAGTAGTAACATTCTAAATATGATAGTAGTCGTAGTTATATAAGTTAACTATATTGTACATACTTGCATGCAGGTATCCATCCACATACCACCTCCCCCCTCCGGCATACACAAACATTATTTTCCCGCGTGTGTGTGTATGTGTGTGTGTCTACGAGTGTGTGTGGTGTTTCTGAGTTGGAATAAACAACAGACACCTTCTCCAGGTCTTGTATCTCTGCTTGTTTTCTAAAGCAAAGTGCTTTCTTTTTTTTTTCCTTATTTACTTCCCACCCCCTTTTCACCCATTCATTACCGTGGTAATCCGTCTCTTTTTCTTCTTCTTCTTTTTCTCCTCCTCATCCTTCTTCTTCTTCTTATTCGTTTCCTCCTACACCTTCTTCTTTTCTTCTTATTTTTTCTCGTTCTTCTCTTTCTTGTTCTGGTTCTTCTTCCTCGTCTGGTGTCTTGTCTGGACGATGATTTCAATTCTCTCTGTCATCTTTTTTGATAAAAGTAGTGTTGCCTATTTGAGAATTATTTCTTGCACAGCTGTTGAATCTTTCCACACACCCAAACATGTATACAAAAACAGGCACCAGGGACACATTACAGCCAGACCGAGAACAGCTGTCCACTTGCGCGACAGATAAGTCTGTTTTTCAGCGTCAAGAATTATTTGTCTGAATCTGAAGTGAAAGCTTCCACATGTGGCCGAGGCCGAGCTATGTCCGATAAATATACAGTGACTCCATCAAGGAAGTAACATTCAATAACGACGCTCTTCTATTTTCGGAGACATGAAAAATATGGGGTCCGTCTTCTCTATTCCGTTGATCTCATCACGTATCATGGATCTGCTGTCCCCAGAAACTGTCTGGTCGCAGACGATAATCGTGCAC